GTGAAAAATACAAAATACTTACAGTGGTTCAACAGTCTCAGGTTCAAGATTTATGTGCCAGGATAAAGTTACAGCCCCCGGTCCAAAAGCAAGCAAAATCGGATGCTAGATTCTTTCTGTACCAATTACAGTTCTACTTCTATACAATTTATTTATCAATAAATAAATAACCAGATAGATGGTTAAATAACTTGATAGCTACTTGCTTAATACTTGATTACTACTTGCTTACAGCTTACTAACTGCTTGATTACTTACTAATTTGCTTTCTTACTGACTTGCTGACTTATTGGCAAAGCTACAATTTTTAAAAGAACAGTCCTAATTAGTATATATAGAATTTTAACACGTGGTAATATAATCTTTCTAAAATTCCTTACAAAATGCTTAAAATTTGAATACAACAAAATTAATATAAATGCATACCTTTTGCATGATGTTGGTGGCACAATTTTATCAGATAATTATGGAAAAGTGTGCTCTATACGTATAACGTGGAATCTTGCCAGACAAAGGTTCGAGTTAAAATATCGGAGAATTTTCTCCCTCTAATTTCATATGGTAACGGTATATCAGTAATACCAATTTTCATTTCCGCTCTGGCCTCGATTGTATTTAAAATTCCGCGGTAAACGCATATAGGCAACTGTGTTTACACATCAGTGATATGTTAATAGTATACCCTAATTCCTACTTCTATGAATTAATATTTGACAACTTGTCTTAACCTAAAATTTCTAACTAGCAATTGAACTTTACTAAATATTACAAAAGGTGTCTATACCCACGGTTATCAAATAGGACGTGTTCTGGACTGGTGCTTTAAATTTTGAAGATTATGTTCCGTTAACGTTACAATATAGTAATCTGAAGTAAATAATAAAATCTATAAATTAAACGAACAACCGTTCTTGTAATTTGTGATAACACCTTTAGAAATAAAGAAAATAATAAAAGTTAGCAGGAAAAATCTAAAAAAATGATTGCAAATAGCAAATTTTGCATATTATGAACGGCACCTTCACAATGGAAAGAAACGTAGTAATAATATGGGATACAAGAAGTTTAGAGGATATAATATATTAATGGAATTAATCCAATTGGGAGTGACATCTGGGAGTAGGTTTTTATTTATGTTTAGACTAGCTTGAATTAGCATAGCCAGTCATTTGCTTGTGCAATAAGGGAAAACAACAAAAAGGTCTAACTAGTTAACTCTACATAAATCACATAGATCGTTGGTTGTTTTATCTTCAATTTGTATTTTACTTTTTAATTCAGTAACAGTCAAGAGATACTTCTGATGTATACAGGGTGTGCCATTTAATACTCCCTCTGCCAATATCTCCGAAATGAAGAAATTTATTTTAGTTTCGGAAACTGGGGTTGTTAGGTCCCTCGAATAGCATCAAATTGTAGGTAGAACTGTTAGTTCAAATCTTTCTGTATAGATGGCGTGGCGATACAAAAAAATTGTTTGATTCCTGGAACGTAGAAATGAAGTCATTCTGAAAGATTGTAAATTATGAGTAATTTTGATTATATGAAGTTTTTCCCTATATTATATAAATAATTTAATGCCTTTCGCACTAATTTCTATTAGTTATTTCCAAAATGCCTTGGATTTGGTAGTAATAATTGTGACTCGTTTTGACTGATGTATTGTCGCTGTTCAAGAATTCAAATTTGTACATGGAAGGGTAAGCATCTTTCGCCTTGTAAGGACATTTTATCTCCAAAATTCCATCGCTTCCCAGAATGCCATCTGGAGAGGCAGCTAGAAATTGATGATCCCTGTGGATAATCAATCCAGCAGGAAAATATTCTATTGGTGACTGCTGCAAGTATTGTTTCCGTGCCGTTTCCTCATTCCATAAAGAATGGCCATCGTTTTTAAATCTCGGGGCTCTATAATATCTCTCGCGATGTTGTAAAACGAGGAATCCTGCCTTACTTTACAAATTCTCCCAAAATTGGATGCAGTGACCCTAATTTTTCTTTCGTCGTGCCACTTCTCATATAACCCCCGAGAACGCGTACCAATTCTCCAATTCCAACAGTTCATCATGAGACCTCTGTATTCCTTTTAAATAATCTTCGATGACGGTATATCTCTTTTTAGAATATTCCAAAGTATCACTTCGAGCAACAGTTAACGTGCATTATATGTTTCATTTTCACCATCGGGATTGTCGCAAATTTGGTGAATCCAACTCTTACATCCGTCACATTGTATCCATGACCTTGGTTCAGTAACAGCATACGCACACTGGGTTAGTTCATCGTCATCTTCAGGATAAATAATGGAATCGTTATATGATTGTTTGTTTGTTTTTCTTAAAAATAAATAATTTTCTACTGCAGAATTATTGACTGGTGACCTACCATCCAACATTAGACCACTTCACAACGGACAAAATAGTAGGTATTTATTGAGAATTAAATCAAAGTATTCGGCGTTATATCATTTATTTGTTATATTTCCCAATTTATGTATACTTACTGTGTCAACGATATTGCTGAATCTCTTATAAAACGGACTTGATTTATACAAACATTCGGGTGGATCGTCAAACGAAATGATACAATTTACATCTATCTCGTATAGTAAATCATCCTGAGTAAATCCTGTGCTTAGTTCGTTATGGGCATTTTCTACCTGCCCATTACAGTTTTCAGATTTAAGAAGAATATACAGATTTTTTACGAATATATCAAACTTATTTATATTGGTTATTAATACTGCAGATGCTACCAAATCTTTAAAATATAATTGCTGTTCATGACTTAACGGAAGTTTTTCGACGTCTTTCGAAACCATTTTCATAAAGTGGGCGCAACACATGTATACACCGAACTGCTACTGCTACTGCTAGTCTTTCGAAACCATTTTCATAAAGTGGGCGCAACACATGTATACACCGACTAAACATTCCTCGGTTATAGTTTTGTTATCTATTGTCACTGTGTAACACTTTTGAAGATATTCGAGTAATGTACACCTATTAAATGCCTTACAGATCGCGTGTAAGTTAGCAAATGAAAAATCGGTTACTATACCCGAAAATGCTGGCCAATAGTTGTTTCCTTCACAGAAGTACCGAAAATCATGCAAAATTTTAAAAATCGAATTCGAATCGTGCGTCGAGGATATCATAGAAAAAATAGGATAGATCCTTCTTGAAGTTTTCAAGTTTATAACTGCCGTATAAAGGAAAATTATCTTACACTTCATGTTTATCTTCATCTTCGACATAGGATTTCTTATGACGCATCCTGTTGCATCAAAATATATAATTGGTAATTCAGTCCTTCAACCTTGTGATTTCAAAACTTGAAACTGTTCATCACTATATATTTTAATATTAAATGGGATGCTTAATTAATATCAAATTCCAAAAATCATCTTTACTGCGGTCCAATATACTCATCGCTTCCGATTTGATTTTTCTCACTGTTGCGTCGGATTTTATGGCTTGTAAATTTTTGCCCTTCTTTAAAATTTGCGTTCTCGCCATTAGTAAAGTTTGCTTTTTAAAGTCTAATGGTTTTTTATTTACAACATTTTTTCTGGTGATACATCTTTCGACACCTCTTACATGATTTGTTAAATATGGTGGGTGACGATAATTTATGGTAGACATAGCCCCTTTTGTCCTTTAGGCAAATATTAAACTTCTTGTAATTGTAGTTACCGTGTTTACATACTCTTCTCTAAAATTTTTGATATTTCGAGTCATTTACGAGGTACAAGCAATAAAACACAACGCTACGATCTTTAAATGTAGTGGTAATAATCACGTGTCTTTTCAATCACTGTTGTTCAACTAAACAAACGGAAAATTTTCTTTTCACCGTTACTGTGTGTATTATGGCTTCAAACATTCTTTTGTTTTCAACTCAAGGTAAATTACATGGTAACGAGAGAAGGAAAAGTTTTAATTTTAACTCTTAGAGCACACAGTGCATACTGAATCACTCAACGTAAATATCAAAATACGAGTGCTTTACACAAGGTTTTACTGGATTATTTCAGTAAACTGTTTATGAAAGAGCGTATTTGTTATAAGATAAGTTCATGTATAAACAGTGTTTTTAAAAAACATGCTTTTAGTGCCACCATGCATTGTCATCCAAACTAAACGTGTATGCAAAATTTCAGCTCAATCGGTTGGGGATAAATGTTTTAAAATTCAGTTTCAAGATTTGACTCATACTAACAAAGCAAAAGTTAAATGAATGCTTGTAATAATAATAATCTACTGATATAAAAGATAGGTAACTATAAGTGTTTTATAGGCGTAGTTAGAAATGTTATTAGCAGGGCATTTAAATTTGATAAACGTAAAAAGTGTTTTATTATTATTTATTTTATTCTGCCACTTCTCAGAAGTCAGGTTTTATATCCACAATTAATACACCAACCAGAATTCTAAAGAACTCAAAAACATGTCTTGATCATATCTTTATTAAACCAAAAAGTAACTTTAATCTAGAATTCATTTTACCTATAGTTTTCCAAAGTAATATTACCGATCATTTTACGACCATTTTACAAATAATACTAGATGTGCCTAAACCAAGTCAACAATCCAGTTACGTTGAAAATGTCGACTTTAACAAATTAACTTCGGTGATGAGTAACATACCTTGGGAGTCTATATATACAAAACCAGATCCAGATGTAGCTACAAAAACTTTTGTAGAAATTGTAACTAAAGCAGTAAAACAAAGCACTTAAAGTTATTAAAAGAAAAAACCTGAAAAAGTCTGCCTGGATTACAAATGCAATTTTAAGATCCAAAAACAAAAACAATTCCAAAAATCTATGGAAAATAGTCCAAAACATAACAAAGTTTAACTCAAAAAATCAAATTTACCGTCACTTGATAAATGATAATAATGTTGAATTAACTGATAACATAGATATGGCTGAGGAATTCAACAAAACCTTTTCCAATATAGGGAAAAAATTGGCACATAAAATAATACCCAATAGATTGGTTGCTTTTAGAGGTATTTATTCACTAAATTCGCTAGTTTTACTGCCCACAGATCACCAAGAAGTCAAAGACATTATACTAAATTTAAAAAATAAAAAATCTCCTGGAATTGACAACCTGAAGTCAGAGGTAATTAAACATATTGTGGAGTTTGTTACTGAGCCAATAGTATACATTATAAATGAGTGCATAAAAACTGGTACTTGGTCATCTGCATTGAAAAACTCTGTGGTTACTCCTATTTTTAAAAAAGGAAATAGTGCATTATCAACTAACTATAAGCCCATTTCTTTAATAACAAATTTCTGTAAAATATTTGAAAAAATTTTTAAAATAAGAATAACATCTTTTTTAAATAAATATAAGTTACTTTCACAAAAACAATATGGTTTTAAGGAACATACGTCCACCCAAGATGCTACCATAACGCTCACAAATAATGTCTCCTCTGCTCTAGATAAAGGCCAGCCTTGCTTGTGCATTTTCATTGACCTTACCAAAGCCTTTGACACTGTTAGTCATCCTATGCTTCTAGAAGCTTGAAAATATAGGAATTAGAGGTCAATGTCATAAACGCTTATAGAGTTATTTGTCAAATAGAAAACAGTGTTTAAAGGTTGGAGGCGAGCGCAGTGGATGGTTACCTGTTGAATGTGGTGTTCCGCAAGGCACGGTTTTAGGGCCCCTGTTATTTTTAATATATATATTAATGATTTATTTGGCCTACTTACTAGTGGAGAGGTTATAGGCTTTGCAGACAATACAGCTATCTTCCATAAAGGTAACACTTGGGACGAACTGAAAGAAACTGTGGAATGTAAAAGATTGGTTCAGTTACAAACTATTGACAACCTGGAAAAGACTACTACTACTTGCCTTTTACATGCAATAAGTCAGTTTCCCCATCTTTCGATTATCTGAAATTAGAAAGCCAGGGTCATACAATTAGAATCTCACCTGCAACAAAAACAAGATATTTAGGTGTTTTTATAGATTGTCATTTAAGATGGGATATACATATAAATTATGTTATAAAAAAGCTTCAGTCCATTTTATATACCTTTAAGTACCTCTGTAGGATGTTGTCTAGACAATATCTAAAAATGGTCTATCATGCTTTAATGCAGAGTCATATGAATTACGCTGTACTCTCTTGGGGTTCAGCGGTTAGTAGTCACATTGAACCATTCACAATTATACAAAAAAAGATTTTTAAAGATGATGTTGCAAAAAGAATTAACTTACCCTAGTAATGAGTTGTACCTTGAAGCTAAAGTCTTCGATGTAAGACAATTTTATTACTACAACTGTGTTTGTAGATATCATTATATTGATAATAAGCATGAAATGTCTCATAATTATGAAACCAGAAGAAAACAAAAGTTCTTATCTCCCTTTATGCAAAAAAATTTGGGTCAAAGATCACTACTATATGTAGCACCTAAACTATATAATACTGTACCTGATTCCTTGAAAGTAAATAATCTATCAATGTATGCATTCAAGAGGAAAATTAAAATGTACATATTAGAAACTCCTCGGCAAACAATAAGTAAATATTTTTCTTAATACAATTAATCCGAATTGACTGATTCCGTAAACATATACATACTTTTCTTTTCTCTGTATAATTATGTATATTTTTCCTGTATTGTTTTATTATATACATGTTTGATGTTTTTCTGTGATAGACATTTTGTGATGTATGTATGTTCATATTTTATTATATGTTCTTGAAACAAGTGTAAACTTATCAAGTATTGTTTATTCGTATAGCTTTTAATATTGATTTACGTTTTATGTACTCTGTATTTTCTACGAATAAATTATTATTATTATTATTACTTCTGAAAAAAATTAGTTCAGTTAACCTCTGCTCCAAAGGGATCACTCAAGGGTTGTTTTAATGGAATGGACGCATGGTGGCTGTGGCGTCCTTCGTCCGTGTTTGTTTTTGTTTGCGTTCCTTTGCTGCCATCGTTTTATCGTTACTTTTGCTTCAATATTAAATCTAATATATTTCAAATTAATCAGTTGTTTTCACAGATAAACTTTTGGTATTTCGTCAATTTATTGGTAAGGTTATAACTAGGCTTAGTGCGGCTCGGAGTTTAAAAATATACGCAGGAGAGTAAATTTGTGCATAGCTAGTGAAGGACATCATTTTGAACATAATATGTAATGTTTTTACCGCAAATACACCAATATAGCTAACTAATGGTATGAATTTGAATTTATTTTATATTGCAGCAAAGAACAATGGTCTGTAAACTAATGTAACTTTTTCGTAATACTATTTTATCTATAATTAAAAGTAAACTGTCTATGTTTGTTTTACCCGGAAAATAATAATAAACTGTTATAACTTCAAATCATGTTCTTTTTGCTTTCATAGTGAAAATTTGCAATTTGATTATTATTAACAAATAAAGTTTGATAGTTTTCTCCCTTTAAAACCATTTCAACGAAAAAAAAAGTATACAGGGTGATTCAGTCATAATGTCATTAATTTTAACCACGTATTCGGAAGGCTTAATAAAGATAGAAAATCAAAAAAAAATTTTTACTCGACTTAAAAATGAAGGAAATCAACTAAGAGGGCGACACTGCCAGATGCCCGGATGCTCGGAAAATTTTGTAACGTAATGTCACGAACAAATCGTCAGCTGAAGCGAACAGCGTTGCCAAGGTCACATCATAATCTGTGGTTCACATTTAATTAATCCGTTTTAGTATATGGATACATATGTACGAAACCAATAAAATGCAAGTACATAAAGAATCATGCTGCATTTTATTATAACTAATTTTAATAATTGTATTAACTTATTGCAAAATGTTTTAACAAGCCTTACTTCTCGAAGTCAACTTTCGTTAAAAGAAAATAAATAAAGCAGAGGTTTGTAGGCACACTGTATTTTATCAAATAAAAAAAGTCGGCACACTAAATACCCGAATATACAAAATACACTACACACGGTTACAAAACCATTACCTACCTAACAATTTAAAGCGTTTATTCAAATCTACCACCCTCCATATCTCCCGCATTTTTCCCGCAAAGGAGTTAACATAACACATTTTCAAAAAGTTCAAGCTTTAGAAGCAGCTGATTTCCCCAATCGTCTTGAATTTTGCAATTGGTTCCTAAGTGCAGCAGAACTTTATTAATAAAGTGCTTTGGACGGATGAATGCTGTTTTACTCGTGCTGGCATTTTAAACAGGTAAAAAACAAGTATTTCTTTCTCAAAAACAATAAGTGCCTAACTAGGTTACATCAAAGTTTAGATTTACACTAAAGTTTACATTTACTATGTAAACTTTGGTTATACGCAACTACATATTGAATAATATTTTGAAATACTAAAACTGTGTATTTAACATAATGAATTATAAAACGTGAAACCGTTAATAATATTAAAAATTATAAATTGTAATAACCGTACATTCGAAAACAATTATCCCTATTCATTACACTCAATTTGATGACACGATTTTCCTTTGATAAAAGACCGACAACTTTTTGCTCTACTTCGCATGGACTACGATCCTACTACAGTTCGTATTAGTCGAGGAGCCAGATCAGGTTCCGTGTACTAGCTATAAAAATAAACTTTTTACATCCATTTAAACATTTCATTTGTTGATAACAATTAAACTGACTTTGCGACCAAGTTTTTTGGATTCAAGAGGTCAAAATACTTTAGTTAGTAATAAGTTGTTTGCAGCCGTGGCATTCTGGTTGGCAACGGAACCCTGTCTGGCTCGTGCAAATTAGAAGGTTATTGACCTCGACACAGATTAGCCTCGGTCGGAAACACGTACCGAGTTGTTTATTTGTCTCCGTCCGATTGTATTTTTATCTTCTATTACTTGCAGTCAATATTTAAAACTACGTACATTTCACCCTCTCTTTATAATTTTTCTAGTGAGTGTTGTTTTTTTATGTCATTATTTCTGTAATGAAATTGAAATGGTTGTGAAATGAAATTTAAATTACTTGAACTCTTGGAGTTTTGTAACTTCAATATTAAATTTTATTTAAAGTGAAACAGAGCTAATTTCTTTGCAGCCATAATAGTCACATTTGGTCAGATGAAAACCCGCACAATACTCGTCGGTTTATCTTTCAGAGGAGATTCGGTGTCAATGTATGGGCAGGAGTATATGGCGATCGTATAATTGGGCCGCATTTTCTACCTGAACATCTGAATGGGCCGCTTTACTTTCAATTTTTAGTAGAAGGCTTACTGCAAATTAAAAATTTATCACTACGATGTTAATAAAAAATGATTTTTGGCAAGTCATGCTCAGACCTCCTCGAGGTTCTTGCTGGGCAACAATAACAATTTAATATGTTGATTGCATAATTATAAAAAATAATTTATAGCATTTTAAATTATTATTGGCTGACGTGAACAAACCGTTTATTTATTGTCTTTATATGAGCGAAAATATATAAATATGGCAACATTGCATCTAGGGCGCTTTGTTCATATCGTTTCCGGCTGACGACAGCCGGTCAGTAACAGCCTGAAAAGGGGGTAAAATAATGATTTGAAAATGTTTTTTTTCAGCTTAAATATGCATTTAAAATTTTTTTATCATCAATTTTCTCTATCTGCTCTTAAAATTAATGACATTATGACTGAATCACCCTGTATACTAAATTATATGTATCAAGTTTAATACCAATAAATTCGTGCCAATCAATTTTAAAAACAATTTTATTTAATTACATGTAACCTCTTCGACCACTCCACTGAAGTTTAGGGATTTTCATTTAATCCTACCAACCGTGAATTGTTTGTTGCCTATGCTCGACGGTCGCTTGGCTTGTAAACATTTATGAAGGCTCTGTAGGAGGTAAATAAAGAATAGAAATGTGCATCAAGTAAATGCAACAAAATTTACTCTCTTTCCAGAAAGAAATTAGTCTTCCTAAACCCCCTTGGCGACGCCTATGTCCTTGTACATTCGAACTTTAAAAATTAAGCACTTAGTTTTGGTGCAATCTAGTAGTTTAGTTTTATCTCCTCTATACATACAGTTAAATATAACGGATCCGAACTGGACCCCACATTTGCGTCCCATAAAATTCATTAACGCCTTGCATCATTAAAGTGCCTAATTAATTTAATCAGGAAACTAATTTAGTTCTACCTAGTGCGTTATAGCAGTGTGCATAATGGCCGACTTCTTTCCCGTTGCCGATGTAGAAAAACACGACAAATTCTTAAAGGACGTAGTGGAACTCTTGTTCAAGAACATCGTCTTCACAACACGGCAAGACAAAGTCGTGCACTGGCAGACTCCCGAACAGTTGGAAGAACAATTCGATTTCGGCCTCAACCAGAATGGGGAATCGCAGGAAAAACTAATAAGTTTTTTGAGAGACACGATTAAGTTCAGTGTTCGGAGCGGGCATCCCTATTTTCTAAATCAGCTCTATTCCGGGTAAGTACACTGATAGAAATGTCTATGGCCGAGTTTTTTGATATTACGATAAAAACTTTTAGTAATGTCTTGGAACTAATCTCTGTTCTGGAAAGTATGTATAAAACACAGTTCTTTTAAGGGGTTGATACATTGTATCCACTACTAAAATATTCATAAGAAGTTTGTGTTAAAACTCGGTTGGAACTATACAGCGTGTCCCGTAATTAAGGGGCAATATTTCTACAGGATGTCGGAAAAGATTACTTTTTTTATATAAACGTGGGTCAAAAAATTCTTCCTAACGAAGTTATAGCCACTTAAAGTAGTCACTCGGATGATGTTTTTTTTTTAAATAACTCCGAAACCGGTTGAGATAAATTTATGAAATTTGGTAACTAACTTTACTCTTACGTGTTTAGTTCGCTACTAAAACGAAATTTACAAATTTTCATTATACTCGTTCCAAAACTGGGGGGAGGGGGTGAAATTTACCATAACTTTTTTATGTTCTGACTTTTGACTGGAAAGTATGAAATTTCAGAGTTTTTTAGTAAAAAAGATATTCTTGGTTCAGATTTGTAGAATGTTCCATTTTTGTGTAAAATCCGTTTTAAAAACAATGTTACATGGGTTAATCACCGAGAATCGAAATTGTCAATATTTTTTATCGTCGCAGGTTTTGAATAAGAAAAATGCGTTTGGCGTCATTTGCATTGGCAGTTCAGTTATTGTTATCAGTCGAAAATGCAACATTTTATGAATTTAGTGTCAGTAGATATTCATAATACCCATTTATGGTCAGACGAAAAATCCACGGGCAATACGACGCACAAATTTTGAAAATAGATTTGCAATGTCTGGACAAGAATTTTAGAGGACCAGCTATTTGGACTAATTCAGTTTCCCGTTTATCTGAATGCAGAAAGATACTTAAACCTTCTTCAAGATGATGTAAGAGAACCATTGGATGATACACCGTTAAGCCTAAGCGTACACTTAACGTTACACTATAACAACACCACTTTACCCATAATGTTATAAATTGGTTAAACGATCTCATTTTCCTGGCAGGTGGATAGGGAGAGGTAGCCCCATTCCATGGCCACCTCGATCTCTAGACCTAAATCCTCTAGATTACTTTCTGTGGGGTAGGATGAAGGCTGTAGTTTACGCTACAGAAATAAATCCTTTGGAAAAAAAGACAAAATAATTTTGAAGTTTTGAGGTCTTCGCGGGCAATTCGATGTCGAGTTGAAAAATGTATTCAGCAAAATGGAAATCTTTTTGAGTTAAAAATTACTATTGATATAAAAATAAGTTTTATTAATATTGTGGTTTTCAATTATTTTTATTAGCTTATTGTATTACTATTGTAATTGTATTGTTTTTTTACTTAGTCAAATAATAGTCTACTAAAAATAATAAATTCTTTTGAAAATAACAATTCGCAAAAAGTGAATAACTGAACTGTCAATGCAAATGACGCCAAACGCGTTTTTGTTCTTCACAACCCGCTACGATAGAAAATATTGACAATTTAGATTCCCGGTGATTAACACATGTAATATTATTTTTAAATGGATTTTACACAAAAATGGAACAATCTATCAATATGGACAAAGAGTACCTTTTTTTACTAGAAAACTCTGATAGTTCATCGTTTTCAGTCAAAAATCAAAAAAGTCAAACCATGCAAAAGTTATGGTAAATGTTACCCCCTCCCCCAGATTTGGAACGTATGTGATGAAAATTTGTAACGAGCGTTCAAATAAAAACGTGGTCGAAGTTGGCTCTGACACATAGGACGTAGAGCGTAGCTTATAGCGACCAACTTAACCTCATTTCGCAACGAGCTGTATAGCAGCTGTCAGTTTCAATAACAAAGCGGCGATACAGCGCTTTGACAGATGACGTTTAAGTTCATTTGCTATACGCTACGCCCTACGTCCAAATTTTCAGAACCAACTTGACCACGTTTTTATTTGAACGCTCGTTATATTTCGTTTTAGTAGCTAGTTACCAAATTTCATAAATTTATCTCAACTGGTTTCGGAGTTATTTAAAAAAAAAACATCATCAGAGTGGCCCCTTTAAGTGGCTATAACCTCCTTAGGAAGAATTTTTGGACCCACGTTTATATAAAGAAAAAGTAATCTTTTTCGACAAAGAACACACTGTAGAAGTATTGCCCCCTAATTTCGGGACACCCTGTATAACTGTTGTATGGAAATGAACAATTTTCTTGCGGAGTTTCTTTCATTTACTTTAAACTTTTCCCTTTGCCAAAATAAAGTAGTAGGAAGGCATTATTATGTATTTTTTTATAATAAAATAAACCAGTACATGCAAGGGCGTCGGCAGAAAGGGCAGGGAGGGCAGCGCCCCTCCCCTTCTAGAGATTCGAAAAAAATACAAACATTTTCTTAAGCTAAGAAAATATTGGATTGCAAATTTTTAATAAAATATTTTATTTACTTAAACTTTAATTTTGAAAATTAATACACACTTTATTTGTTAAAAAAAACATTAAGTAATAAATTAGTATAAATATTTAAATAAAAAAAATAAGAATAAAAACCTGCTTGAGAAATACTATAGTACAAAATCATCTCAATGGCCTAGCAATAATGAGTATACACAGAAAGCTTATTTTTGACAATCATGAAGATTTTATAATAAATAATAATAAAGTGGTAGACACATTTTCAAAAAATCTGAGAAGATTATGTTTTACCTAATTTTCGTTAAATTTCTTATTTTTTTTTAGTTATTTATATAGTGTGTCCCAGAATAATGTGTACAACGGAAGACCACAGATGCGTGGACTCAAAATAGGCCGATTTGATGTTATACACAATGTTTTTAAAAACTTACAACTCCTACAAAATTGATGTATGGTGATAATATCCGTTCATAACTTTTTCCTCTTTCGGGCAATAATGACAAATATTTTTTATTTGATAGGTGATACCATTTGAAAGTTTTTAGGCCTCTTGTAGAATTTTGATTAAATGAGCGGTTTGGGTACAAAAAAATATATTTCAAATGTCTACATTATCTTGCCACCCACATTAGAAAATTTATCAGTGCTAGTAGGCACTGATTTTGTAGGTTAACTGTAATTTCAGTTTGATCTTTAAGTCATTGTACCTGCCAATTCTTAATGAGTATTTTCTACGATAAGATATACCACATGTTACTTCGATATGGATACATACACTCACACACATACAACGAATTATTTACAACATGCCTAATTTCATTGAGATAATTAGTAAAAACAATCAAATACAATAAAAAATGCTGGAGATAAAAGTAATTGATTGATGTTATTAGATTTAGTAGAACTGATTATAAAAACTTCAAAATGACCACCGTTGTTTCTACAATAAAGGTTAATTCGGCGAAGGAAGTTAAAGGACGCCCTTTGCAGTTCTTGAAGGCAATTTTTTAAAACATTTATGGCAATTTGGATATGCCTCCACAACTCTTCTTCAGTGTTAGATGTGGAAGCATACACTGTTGTTTTCAAAGTACTCCAAGGGTAATAGTCGCAAGGTATTAAGTCTGGTGAATAAACAGACCAGTTAACAGGAACATTATCCCCTCTACCGTTCTATCGACGAGGGAATCTTTGGTTCAGGTACTGCCGGACATTTACAGTGAAATGTGGAGCTCCTTCATGCATAAACCACATGTCAGCTCTGAGCAATAACGGCATAAAGTGTTTCACGAAAATTATAAACAAAATTCCTCATTCAGTCTATTGGATAGATTAACAGGGTCGATAATAATGCTATCAATGCGATGTATTTGATTGTTTTTTCAAATTTTTTGATTAAAAATTATTAGGCACGTTGTAAATGATTCTAATTCGTCGTATGTGTGTATCCATATCGAAAAATGAAATAACAAGTGGTATATCTTATGGTCGCAAACACTCACTAAGAATTGTCAGGTACAATGAGTTAAAGATCAGACTGAAATTACAGTCAACCTACAAAATCAGTGACTACTAATACTTTGTTAACTATTATAATATGGGTGGCACGATAATATAGGCATTTAAAAAATATTTTTTTGTACACAAACCACTCATTTAATCAAAATTCTACGAGAGACACAAAAACTTCCAAACCGTATCACCTATCAAATAAAAAATAGTTGTCATTATTGCCCGAAAGAGAAAAAAGTTATGAACGGATATTTTCACCATACATCAATTTTGTAGGAGTTGCAGGTTTTAAAAAACATTCTGTGTAACACCGAAATTTGTAGATTGAAAGCAAAAGTCCACACTCTAAAAATAATCAAAATCGATTAATACGTAATCGAGTTATTTACAAGATTCAAAAAATAATCACGAAATTTGATGCCGTCTAGCGGCCATACGAAGCGATTTCGGATACAGGTGATTTAGCCAGATCTGCCTATTTTGAGTTCAAGAATCTGTGGTCTTCCGTTGTACACGTTACCCTTTATATTGTTTATGTTTTTTTGTATAAAAAATGTTTTATTAAAAATATTTCTTAAAAAAAATTAATTCACTGTACCTTTTTCTACATATAATTTATATTTCTCCCATCCTCTCTCTTATCTTGCCCTATAGCCCATTGGCTGGCGACGCCCTTGACTACGTGTAAGTACCTACTTTATAAAGTTAGGATGTGTAATAGTGTAAAAATTTTTGAAGAATATTGTTTAAATAATATCAGAGGTTTAAACAAATACAATTTTATATTATCTGTGAAGGGGCTCTTTAGTAGAGAAGCTAAGGGGGTCATGCAATACTCCACACGAGTGTATACATGTTCCTATCCTTGTTCTGTTTAGGTGAGATTTGCGCCATCCTTATGGCCCCACCACGTTCACCGCAATTATTAATTTACTGATAAAATTGTTACATAATAACAGCGAGAGATTACAATCCACTAAATCCATTACTTGATAAACAAAATTATGTTAAACATTTGATATATAGCATATGACATATTTAGTACTTAATTTTTAAAGTAGTT